GAGACACCTCTTGTACCTGGGCCGGCCGGAGGGCTGCCGAGGCCGCGCCCTGAAGAGGGTGGACGTCGAGAAGTGCCAGGTGCCCTCTAAGCCTGCCCTCGTCGGACCCTCTTCCCAGCAGGCCGTCCCTAACGGCAGCCATTTTAACTTTTAAAGGGAGCTGCTCCAAGGCCTCAAGTGGGACCCCTGAGGCCCACGCCCTCGAAGGCCTTGAGCGTGGGCATGTCTCCAAGGACAGGTCCCCTCCCTCTCTCCTTGCTCCACACCTCCAGCCTTCCTGGACTCAGAGTCTCCCGGGGTCTCTGCCCGCCTCGGACTTATTTATTGACTGCCGACTCTTTCCCCCTGTCCTCGAGAGAGGAGTGGGAGGTGAGAAGCTCGCCCCCTCAGTGAGCCAGCTTTTCGGGGGGAACTGGCACACTCCCACTCCCCCCACCTCAGCCAAGCTGCCTTAACTCGCCCCTCCGGGCTTCCTCCACAGACTGGGCCCCGGGCGGGCCGCACGGCGGACTGACGGGGCTGGGCCACGCGCGTTGTGTACAGAGTCCTCCCGGGACGTGCCTCCTCCTACCGTGTAGGAGCCTCCGCTTCCCAATACAGCTGTGTCCCCCAGCCGCTGCCTGACTTTTCTCGCGGAGGGGGCGGGGCAGGGTGGGAATCAGTAGGCTGCTCTGAGCACCTTTGCCCCAGAATCTCTGCCTTCGTCTTGGCCTTGAGCTCTCTCCCCAGTAATTGGGATGGCTGCGGTCCCACAGGGGTTAATCAGGAAAGGTTTCCTGAAGGAGGCAAGCGAAGAAATGGTGCTTGGAGATGAACCAGGGCCCAGGAGACCCAGGGTAGAATTTAGGTGGGGTTAGGGAGGGCACTGGGAGCATGTTTCCGGGTCGAGGTAAGACGGCCTTTTTCGTAACCTGCTCTATGGGGTAGGAGGAGGGTATTTTTGGAGAAATAAAATGAAGCTGCAGCGTAAGTGAATTAAGTTTCGCATCAGGAAATCTTGTTATAAAGAGAATTTAGCTGGAAGAGCCTGGGTCGCATGAGGGATCGGCTGCAAAAAAACCAGCAAAGGCATCACTCCTCCTGGAGGCAGAGGTTTGCCCCATTAGTTCCCTAAGGAGCAGTTCCTCTTCGCAGAGCGAGAGGGGTGTTGAGAAGCGTTATCTCATTGCACGCATGCGTAGCCTTCTCTGGGACCGCGCTCAAGCCCCGCGTGCCCCACGCGCGGAGTATCAGCCAGCGTGTGTCCTGGTGGTCCTCTGGCCCGGGCTGGCTGCAGACACCTGTCTGTTACTCCCGAGGGCCAATGAGAGTGGAGAACAGGACGGCCTGTCCCACCCACTACCTTGAGCTGAGGACTCTTAAGGCCTCGCGCCGGCGGTTGCATGTCTTTACGGATTTACAAGTTCCGTTTTTCACCCTCGCGAGGCCGGAGTGTCCCGCCCGGTTGGAGCCCTAGGCTGCCCTCCCGCTGGCGTAGCCTGGAGGCCGGACAACGCCCTACAGCGAAGGAAGCCTCGCCAGCCCTTCTCTCCGTTCTTTGCCTAAAAGCCTTCGGCGGGAATCCGCTGGGAACAATTTTGTGAAGAACCCTAAAATGGTTTATAGCGCCAAGCTTTACTTCTTGTGATCCTGCCTAGCCAGAGCACTAATCTAAGCCTTTGTTTCCTCATCTGAAAAATGGGGTTGAGAGGCTCAAGTACGATAATATATGTAAAAACGTTTTCCTAAGAAGAAAATATTGGTATCTTGTGAAACGGTGGTTCCTCCAAACTCACACTTAGGCTATTCCTATCTTTGTGATTTGCTGCTTCTCAGCAACCCGTTTCCCTTTGTATCCTTATAACATTCATTTGTAGATTTTACCCTCAAGGTTTTTAAATGCCTTCTGAACACTTCTTACAGCTGGGTTAACTTGTTCTGCCAAATTCTGTCCTCCAGAATCTACCCTCTTTTTTGCTTGGAGCTTGTTTCACCAGATTGGCGAGGTCCTTTAGATCTCAGTTTTCCCCTCACTGAGTGCCTTACTTAAACCAAGATATTTTGAAATAATTGCTAATTTCTAGATAGTGGAGGAGGGCAAGGAAGGAGGTCAGAAGCTTTCCAATCACCTGACTTCATTAGCCTCTTCAAACCAAGCCCGGACAAAGAAACAATTTAAGGCTGCCACCTTTCATAGACCTCTGAGTCTTGCCCTGAAGGTGGTCACAAAGAAAGGGGTAAATGATCCTGAAGTTTAAATATAGACCCAAAAGAGAAGTATTAGTGGAAATTCAACCTTGTGACTCTTGTGACTTATTGTGAAGGTTGTTCATTAGTATTTATAACGTATGGCAACTTCTCTAGCTAGGAGTGCCTAAGCTGGGCTCTCAGAACCTCCTCAGGGCTAGTGAAAACAACCACATTGCAGTGAGAGCAACAGCTCTTTGACTCTGCCAATTAATGGTTTGTGGGTGTCCTTGGCAATTCAACTTACTTCTCTATGCCTCAATTTCTTTTGTACAGTATGGAAAGAACATTAAGTCAACAGGGGTTTATAAAGCACCATATATATAGGTTCAAATTAAGCGTTTTGTGGGAAATGGTTATTTGCCCAAAATAACATAGACTACCAAGAATATAATTCATTAATACTCATGAAATACCTCATCCTGACAGTAGTGAATAATAAATTAAGGAATGAATTGAAAGAAATTATTACCATTGACAACAGAGGGATAATAAACATGATCCCAATTAAGGAATCTGATAGTCTCTTAAAAATTAGGATACTGCTCAAACTTTGTCTTTAGACAAACCAGAATGTGCCAACAAGAGGATAAAGTCATCATCCTGAGGGACTTCTAAGCTGATTTCTCAGAGGCATCCTGGGAGGTTATGGAGAAACCAGGGCCCCAGTAGGCAGAGTCCATCAGCTTGTATAAAGCTTTGGGGACCTGAAGCACAGAAGGTGCCACAGTCACAAAGCTTGAAAAACTGTTCAGCATCTTGGGTTCTTTGGGAGCTAAGTCACAGGGGCCTGAGCTATTACTGTCTCTCAGATTTATGTCTCCTTGATGCCACTACCCCACACTTGGGAATCACATAGGTATGAGTCACCCTCTGTTACTTAATCCAGCAGTTGACCCTTCAGAACTGTTGACGCATAAGAATTTAAGGTTACATGTATGAGTATGGTTGAAGTCCATGGGTAAAATATGAATTCTGTGAATCCAAAACATCACTTACCTTTACCAGGTGTGTATTAGGGTTCCACTAGGAAATAGTTGACATGTTCAAAATGAAGGGCTACTTTTTAAAAGTGTTGGCAAGGGACAGGTCAGTAACTGGAGGCTAGCAACAGGCTTATGCCTGAAAGGACAAAAGGAGGTAGTGGTTACTGGGACTCAGAAGGCGAGATTGCACTGAGAGGAGCAGTGTCCTTTAATCAAACAATACAACTAGGCCCAGGTGACCCCAAGGGAGGGAACCTGGGAAATCAAAACACTGATTTCAGTCTTTTCTCTCCATCCAGTCTCCTGCTCAGAGCTCCCTGCTGACTGAATTCAACTGGAAGCCAAAGTGCAGGGAGCCTACTGATAATGCAGGTTAGCTTTCCAGGACAGAGAATGAGCTACACGAGGGAGAAGAGTAATCTGCAAGGAAAGACAGATGATATCTAGCATATGTAGAGATAAAGATCCCATCCATTCCCCACAAGAGATTATCTTTGACTCTCCTTGCTTATGTTGGTGTCCAGCAACTTCACGGAGATGCCTCCTGAATTAGTTTTGGAGCAAAACTTACTTTGGGGATTTTGCAGGGAAGACTGCTTGGAAAAGTTACAGAAGTCCCCAGTTTCTTGACTGCAACTTGAAATGATCAAGCTGTCCAAAGTCAAGTG